TCTGAAGATGGAAAAATTACTTGTGAGCTACTTGGTTCGTCAGGCGCGACGGAACATGGCGGTGGACACGTGCTCAGTTAAGGAGTACGCACGTGAACTGTATGCTGCAGTGTCACGAAACATGGGAATTTCAGAGCCCAAACCCTCTAATGCTTCCTCTGGGTGGTTACAGAGGTTTAAGAAGAGGAACAAGATCACCACTATCAACATTGGTGGTGAAGAAGCTTGTGCTGACCGTGTTGCGGCTAGGGAATTTCCTCCGTTTTTACGTGAGAGTATGGAGGAAGGACAGTACACCGACGACCAGGTGTTTAACATGGACGAATCTGGTCTTTTTTGGAAAAAGCTACCTTCCAAGACCTTCGTTGTGAAGAATGCCAGCAAGTGTCGGGGCCGGAAGTTGCAGAAGGAGCGCATCACCGTCCTGTTTACCACCAATGCCTCCGGTACCTGTAAGCTCAAGTTATCGGTGATCCACACAGCACGCAAGCTGCACGCCTACAAGAGCATGGACATGACCAAGCTAAATGTCCACTGGCTGACCGCACGTAAGGCGTGGATGTTCTCTCCACTGTCCCTCTCCTGGTTTGATGACTGTTTTGTTCCCGATGTGAAGAAATTCTGTGAGCAACAGAATGTTCCATTCAAGATTTTGTTGCTGCTTGACAACGCACTAGGACACTCGCCCCTACTGTTAGATCGTCACCCCAACGTAAAAGTGGTCTTCCTTCCTCCCAACACTACGTCTATAATACAGCCCATGGACCAAGAATTGATCTGTAATGTAAAAGCTGCATTCTCTGCCAAGAAATTCAAGCTCCTGAACGACTACACCAACACCAAGGAAGAGTTGCGTAACCTGAGTGACGCCAACACCGATAGCAAGAGCGAAGAAGACGAGGATCAACAGTTGGCAGAGCAAGAAGTACTTTTGAGACAATTTTGGAGAACATTCAACGTCAAGAAAGCTGTGGACTTCTTGGTGGAGGCATGGGATCAGCTGTCTGTAGCAACTGTTCGTCACGCATGGAGACATGTGTTGCAAGGTACTCCGGGTGTTAGGCAGAGTAAATCTGTGACTGGTGAGGATCAGACTGTTGCAGTAGCAGTGGACCTTGCCAGAGAAGCTGCGCAGAGTGTTACAGCTGCAGGCTTCTCCGAGACCACCAACAACGACATCCTGGAGGTGATAGGGGATCCTCATGTGACTACCGACGAGATGGTAGATGATGATGACGTCAGTGAAGAGGCAGGTGGTGCGTCATCCCAAGAAGAACGCCAGTTATCCCATAGTAATGTAAGGGGTGCCGTCGAGTGTATTGAGAAAGTCAAGCTCCTCCTTTCCGACGACCCTGACGCTCACAGGTATGAAATCTTCACTACCCAGCTGTTGCAGACTATGGAGCCCTACATCAAGGTTTATCAAGACAACATAAACACCAGCCGTCAGCAAAGCATAACCGAGTTCTTCGCCCGCAACCCACCACAGCCAGCCCAAGCCAGTGATAGTGACAGGCAGAGACAGTGATGATGACTTTGAGGGATTTGTCAGGGAGGCACTAGTAAGTGTGGATGACAGCAATGAAGACTCACCTGAGGGCCAGTAGCCTGCCCTCTGCCTCGGAACCTGCCTCCATTCCCCTACGCCGAGCCATCTCTTCTACTAACGTAAGTGTTAACCCCAACCTGTTTTTTTCTAACCTAACCTTCAGTATATTATTCTCTTATTGATTGTTTTCTTCTACATTATGTGTGTGTGAGAATACCATCATAAAGTTAAGATGTTATTTTTAGTAAAACGTACGTATTGTGTCGGGAAAAAGTGGGGTTTGGGGGTCGGCCTGGTCTCTATTTCAATTAATCCCATATGTTGTGTTGTTCACTTTATGCGGGCCGCCGTGGGTTCTTTTAACCGCGTAAAGTGAAGGTTCACTGTAGTTGAAGCTTTTAACATCACTCTCAATGGATCTTGAATGTTTCAGCTATTAGTAGGTATAGTCAGTCCTTGACTTACGACGGGGTTAGGGACCGACAACCAGGTCGTAAGTCGGAAATGCTTAAATAATACATAGAAAATCTAAAATGGGGGTCTCTCTTTCTTCTCAGCACCACAAACATTCACTTTTAAGCTTGCCAGCCATTTTAAAGTGAATTAAAGATGAAAGTTTTTGTCTGTGTACTGATGTTGGGACTCGAAAATACGTAATTTGACAAAATTTTGGTACGACTGAGGCAGGTCGTAAGTGCGGGTGGTCGTAGGTCGAAAGTTGGGGAGGAGCTGTGTGTGTGTGTGTGTGTGTGTGTGTGTGTGTGTGTGTGTGTTATTACCCAGCTTTACACAGTTTCACTTTCCGCGATTTCTCATTTGATTTCACATTTACGTGGTACCTTGCCAGAACCGGACTTTCACTTTCCGCAGTGCATCTACTCATATACACGGTGAAGTATAATTTATTTTATATTTTTTTATATTTAGCTCATAAAATTCATACAAATTACCCTGCCAGAATATAATTTACATAGCTGGAATTCTTACAATATGATGATCATTTTGAATATAAATATCATGGATTTTGCATTAGACTTACAAATTTTAGATCTAATGTAATAATTTGGTTTACACAAAGCAAATATTTTATCGTTTGTGCAAAATATATGAAGTTTACATTCAAAATATTCCCTGACCTGCAAGGAATCTACAAATGTCAATTATATTATCCTAACTTTAGTCTGGGTTATTATTTATTACTAAAAATGTAAATATACTATTTTCTCCCAATCGCTTTTCTGGTAGGGAGGGAGGGCGGAGGTGGGGTATTTTGCTTGACAGATAGTGTCCTTGAAGAATATTTCTTTATTTATTTACTGAAGATATTTGTTTTAGCTCATAAAATTCATACAAATTACCCGGCCAGAATATAATTTACAATGCTGGAAATCTTACAATATGGTGATCATTTTGAATATAAACATCATGGATTTTACATTAGACATACAAATTTTAGATCTAATGTAATAATTTGGTTTACACAAATCAAATACTGTATTTTATCTTTTGTGCAAAATATATGAAGTTTACATTCAAAATATTCCCTGACCTGCAAGGGATCCAGAAATGTCAATTATATTATCCTAACTTTAGTCTGAAGTATTATTTATTACTAAAAGTTAAAATCTAGTTTTTTCACCCAAACATTTCTCTGGTAGGGAGAGAAGGTGGGGGGTGGGGGGAGGGTTGGGACCGACCGACCCAGCTGGCGTGAGTGTGAGGAGGTGGGGAGGCAAGGTGGGGTACTTTGATTGACAGATAGTGTCGTGAAGAATATTTTTTTTTTTATTACCTGAAGATATTTGTTTTAGCTCATAAAATTCATACAAATTACTCGGCCAGAATATAATTTACATTGCTGGAATTCTTACAATATGATGATCATTTTGAAAATAAACATCATGGATTTTGCATTAGACATACAAATTACAAATTTTAGATCTAATGTAATAATTTGGTTTACACAAAGCAAATATTTTATCTTGTGTGCAAAATATATGAAGTTTACATTCAAAATATTCCCTGACCTGCAAGGAATCCAGAAATGTCAATTATATTATCTTAACTTTAGTCTGAGGTATTATTTATTACTAAACGTTAAAATCCAGTGTTTTCACCCAACCATTTCTCAGAGAGGTAGGAGCTAGTGAGGTGGGAAGAGGGGGGGATTTGAGTCCATTATTTGAATAGACATTAACCTGGCGACTGTATTTCTCTTAAATATTAATTGTGTGAGCATACCATCATAAAATTTAGATGTTATTTTTACTACAACATTGGTATTGTGTCGGAAAAAGTGGAGTTTGGGGGTCGGGCCAGTCTCTATTGGAATTAATCCCATATGTTCTGTTGTTCACTTTACGCAGTTTTCACTTTCCGTGGTACCCTGTGGGTTCAATTGACCGCGCGTAAATCGGGGTACTACTGTATATATATATTACAGTAACACATACGTATTCATTCGTCATTTTAAATATACAAACATCATCAATGGTATTTCATGAGGATTCAGAAATGGATTGATAGAAAACATATGTCTCAATAGAGGGACTAAAGAAATGCGTTATAGCGAACTGTTTTATGGACTATTGAGCTTAATATGATTCGTGTGACATTAAGTTAACGAACATGTATGATTGTGATCAGTACATTACTAGTGTGGCTATCTTGGACTTAAGTCGTGTACAGGGGTAATGTAATGTAGTGTATTATACTGTACTGTACATTGATAGTGTAATGTACACCCACTAAAAAATTATTCGACACCCGTGTCATATTGTACACCCAACAAAAAATTATTCAGCACCCTTACGGCGTGATACAATATGACACGGGTGCCGAATAATTTTTTAGTGAGTGTACATTACACCAATATATAGTAAAGGTAATGTACATGTTTGTAGGTACAGTAATGTTGTATACTTGGTTAGTATATGTTACTGCATGTGCATGGGTTACTACTTTTGTTGTGGAGGGGAAGTGTACTTCAGTATTGTGCACAAAAGTCCCTTCCACCTGCCAACCACAGTGTGAGACTGAATCACCTGAGGATGAATCAATAAAGCAGCTGATCGATTTGCCTTGATGGCCCAATGTTGGGCCATCAAGGCACTTTCTTCAACTGCTTCAACCTCAGATGATTCGGGCTTACACTATGGCTGGTTGGTGGAAGAGACATGTGCGATAGTATATATTACAGTTTGTAAGGGTTATTCAAGTCATATCTCGTTTTTTGTTCATAGAAGTCCATATTATGCATTTTTATTATTTATCTTACTTGTGAAGTACAGAGTTTCTTCAGCCGATTAAATATTTTTATTAATGACTGAATAGTTGTAGAGTACAAAGATCAAAGACTTTTCTGTGTGTGTATGTGTTACAAGTACTGTGAGAGACCAGCAGCAGGATGTGGTATCCCCTAGACTGAGTGTACTGTATATTGTGTTATCAGGGCTGCAGCAGTGGGAACTCCTGCTGGTGGCGCTCGTCATCACCCTGGTGTTCCTTGCTATCTTCATGGGCTGCATGTATTTCTTCGTCTCGAAACTCGCCAGGTGTGCATGACCGCAATACTTCTTTGCGCAAGTTTTCATCCGTACAGACTTTAGAGTATGTTTAGATTATATGGTATAGTATAGTACATTAATTACATTAATGTGGCCTCATGTATCTTTGATAAGCAACCTCTGTAATTTATTTCTGTTGAACATTAAACTTGCCATTGGATGATCTTTGACTAGTAATTGTAAGTCATTGTTCATCTGGCCATCTCTCATGATCAGGCTCCAGGTAGACATATAGGCTTACTTTCCAACCCCAACTCAGAAGTATTTTACTTTTACTTTTATCCTCTTTGCTACTGATTGGCTCGTTAGCCGCTTGGGGGGTGTTCACGTCTCTGTTACGCACTGTTGGCATGCACCGGCTCCTGAATGTATCTGAATTTGCTCCAGTGGTGGTCAAGTCTGGTCTTGAAAGAGCTCACACTTGGTGCTGTCACAACACTCTCTGGCAAGTTGTTCTAAGAGTTCACAACTCTCACTCCGAAAAAAATTGCCCTCACAGTTTTCTGGACTATGTGGCTTTTTCAACCTTGAGCTATGACTAACAGGAAACATGTTTTGCCATCTCCCATTACAATTAATTCTTTCAAAAACAAATTAAGACAACTAACATTCTGGGACATGAACCCTGAGTCTGTCTCCACCCATGTATACTGTAGTATACACGCCCGCATCGACTCTAATGACAAGGTTTCATGGAGTTTTCTCTAGGGGTCTAGCCAGTAAAGTCGGTAATTAAAACTGAACAACTCTGCCCTCTTAATTCATAAAATTCTGGATACTTTTTTCCGATGAATAATATACAGTAAATTAAGCTGGTCAACTCACTGATACATTTTCTCACTAGAGTTGATCAGTATCATGATACCAAGAATTAAAAATTGCCAGCTGTCTCACAGAAGGAAATTCAAATACAGGTTGTACCTCTCTAGTCCGGCAATCCGTGGTCCGGAACGATTTTAGTTTGTCCAATAGGTAGATAGGCAGTTTTTTTTTTTTTTTGAATTATTATTATTATTACAGGAGTATTAAATTTTTGCCCCTCAGGCCCCAATGTGGGTCAGTGACCTATGCCCGGGTGGGCTAATCCCCTTAAAAAAAAAAAAAAGCCGCGGGAAATTAAGGTTTGTTTACATCCGGCAGTTCGGCTGCTCTCTCTCTCTGCTTGTCTATACAGAGTACAACATTTAACCCTTCAATATATATGAGTAGTAAATAAGTGTTGCTTTCATATTCTTATGTAGAGTAATGACGATATATTTTCACATGTGCGCACTTACATACGAGCAGTCTCACTTTTTTTTTTACCATTGATGGTTAGCTACTTATATTGTTCCATTTATTAACATTAAATAACATTACAGGTACTTCAAGCAACCATATTCATTTTTTACATTAATTTTACTACAGCTAAACTCAGGGTCTTATTTTCTTCAGTTTTATATGCAGAACCAATCAGTCACTGGTTTCGTAAGCTTTAACATAAACAATGCCGGCAGCTGTCTCGTCTCCTCTAATATTCCACGTATTATTAATAAATTGTATTGTTAATTTTGCACACACGTACATTAATTAAAAAAAACAAATTCAGAAACATTAATTAAAATATATATGAACAGTAAATAAGTGTTGCTTTCATATTCTTATGTAAAGTAATGATGATATGTTTTCACGTGTGCGCATGTGCGATCTCTCTTTTTCTTTACCATTATCGTTAGCTACTTCTATTGTTCCATTTATTAACATTAAATAACATTACTTAAAACAACCATATTAATTTTACTACAGCTACAACCAAAGTCTTATTTTCTTCAGTTTTATATGTAGAACCAGTCAGTCACTGGTTTTGTAATCAACGAAAACAATGCTGTGTCATTTCCTCATGTGTTTTAATATTCTACGTATTATTAATGAATTGTATTGCTCATTTTGCACACATAAACATTAATTCAATAAAAAAGACATTCAGTAACAAACAATAATGAATCTTTTGTACATAAGAGAAATGACACTGTTTACACGATTATGCACGTCGTCTGCACGTTGGCGGGCCGTTCAAACCCGTCGAAATTCAAGTTTCCGCCGTCAAAATTTTTATTTATTTATTTTTTTGTGTTCCAATAAAATACGTTAAGAATTAAAAACTCGCGAAATTTGAGAAGCTACTATATGACATTTAACCCTTCAATATGTCTTCAAAGAGACCATGACGCAGAGAAAGTGGTGCTAGTGCTTCCAGGCATAAGCACAAGTCACTATCTATCCAGGAAAAGGGTGAATTTCCATAGTCCGGCACCGGTCAGGTCCCGAGGTTGCCGGACTAGAGAGGTACAACCTGTAGTAGAAAACAACTCTAAAACTAAGTGGCGTTAGGTTAACATGATAGCAGCGGCAGCTTTAGAGCTGTGCGGGCCCTGTGCAAAATGTGGATATGAGGCCCCCCCCCAAAAAAAAAATTTATGTAGAAATACGTACTGTTTCTGTAATACATGTAGTATAGAAATTCTGTGAAATATTCATAGAAAACCCACTTTTTTTTTTTTTCAAAATAAAATTTAACATGTTTCAATAATGCAAATTTAGTATTGAAAAGTAATATGTATATGTGTCCTCCATGAAGTAGTAAGCACTTAACAAAGAGGAAATGCTATGGTCTAGTCTAGCAAGTCTGAGCACACCCACATTTATAAAAATTTTGTAGATTTTTAGTTCTCTGCCAATATCCAGTCCATGAAATGCTAAAGTAAAATCCCAGAAATCACAAAGAATATTCACAAATCTTTGTTTTATGCTCTAAAAAAAATTCTTTCGCACAAAAATGTATGGCCCATTTATTTATTTATTTTTTGTGTGGGGGGAGGGCTTAAAAATTTTGTGGGGCCCCCACGTCCAAGCTTGTGGGTGCTGTGCAATTACACATTTCATACTTCAGGCTTCCTCTGCATGATAGGGAGGACAATCCATTTATCATGCTTCACTACCTCTAATGTAACTGTGAGATTATTTGTTAATTCAATTTGTAAGAAAAATTATCCTGATGGGTATAACCTTGACATCCCACATTTTCTTTTGGCAGAAGGTACCGCCAGACTATACCTGCGGATGGGCTGGTCCCCAGCAGCTTCCAAGGCAGCGTCCCCAGCAGCAAGATAAACAGCATCGCAGACGGCAGCCTGAAGAGCATTCGTGTCCTGGAGACTCAGCTAGTGGGCGGGGCGATGGTGGAGAGCCAGATGGTGGAGCGGAAGACGTTGACAGGTCAGCAGGGGAGCAGAGAGTTGGTGCTTGACGTTGACAAGTTGTGGCCTGCGTCACTCACGCTGCCAGCCACACAATTCATCCTTCCTCTCGATTACCAACATAACACCACTGGTAACGGCAGCCTAACCATGGATATGTGTATACCCAAGAGCTGCATTAATATTCCCTTTTTAGAAAGTATGTGGTATTCTTGTTTTTTGCACAATTATCAGCAAAGATAAATTTTCGACTTCAGTTCCGTCAGATCTTATGAAGTAAAAATGAAACACAGCATCAGGACTCGCTGTGAATCGTGTCTGTAGGACAAAGTAGATATGAGTATGGAGGTAAAACAGTAAATTTAAAAATATCACAAATTAGGGGCTTTGGCTTGCCAATCCTTTTTTTGTCATCCATTTATTGGTAAAATTGTATGAAAATACTCAAGTCAGTTTTTGCAGATTTACCCAGGAAAAAACATAATATAGCTCCTCCCCAACTTACGACGGGGTTAGGGACCCAAATCCAGGTCGTAAGTTGAAATGGTCCTAAGTCGAAAATGCTTAAATAATACATAGAAAATCTAAAATGGGTGTCTTTTTTTCTTCTCAGCACCACAAAACTCTCACTTTTAAGCTTGCCAGCAATTTTAAAGTGAATTACAAACGAAAATTTTGTCAGTACACAGCGCAATCACTGACGTTGGGACTCGAAAATACGTAGTTTGACAAAATTTTGGTACCAGTCGTATGTCCGGGTGGTCGTAAGTTGAGTAGGTCGTAAGTCGGGGAGGAGCTGTACATACAATTTAATATTGCATAGTAGTCACATAGATACCAATGCACTCACTTATGTGTAATTATGTGTAATACATATCGGAGTCAATTGACAGTAGAAAAATTTAACTATTGCATCTCATTAATACAACACAGTACTGTACTGTTTAATCATTAAAAAGACATGTGTGGACGTTTGATATGAGGCTGAGTCAAAGTGCCATGACTAGAAATGTTAAAAAAAAATAAAAATTAATATATAAAAAAAAGGAAAAGACTTACACAATATTCTTTTCACACTTTAAGATCAACATAATGAAAAATAAATGTACTTATAACAAAGATATCTCCATTTTCCAGGTTTAGGAGGGAGATAGGAAGGAACTGGTTCACAAATAGGGTAGTGGACGAGTGGAACAAGCTTAGCAACTTTGTAGTAAGTGCTGGAATTCTGGAAAGTTTCAAAAGGAGGCTAGATAGATTCATGGATGATTGAGTGGTAGTAACTCTCGACAGGAGCTGCCATGCACAGGCCAACCGGCCTATTGCAGACTCCTTATGTTCTTATGTTCTAATTGGTGCAGAGCACTTCCGGGAATGAAAGATTTCCGGGTAACAAGACGACTCACTCAAGGCTGGAAAAAAAAAAAAAATCCCCCATTCCCGTAATTTTCCGGGTAACGGAAAAATGTTTTCGGAAGTTCCAGAAATTGCCCATTACACCATCTCTTGAACCAGGAAAAAATATCTCATCCCTCGGAGTTTTTCGGGTAATGGAAAATTTGTCTCATAATTTCCAGAAAATGCGCCAGATTTTCATCTCTCAAACCCGGAAAAAACTACCCCATCCCCGGAATTTTCCGGGTACCTGGAAAATTTTCTCGTAATTTTCCAAGCAAATTTCAATTCCGGCTGTCGGAGATTTCCGGGTTTGAAGGATTTTGGCTAACGGATATATTACTACAGTAGAATGATGATTTAAAGCAATTCAATTTAAGATTATTGATTTAAAGCGACACCCACAATTAAGGACAACGTTTTAATTTAAAGCGAATCTTTCCAATTTTGCGCGAGTCAATCTGGTGCATCATATTTTAAAATTCACGCCTAATGTTTCTCTGGGAACGCTACACTGTCCTAAGGCCAAAGCTGTACTGTACATGTACTCAAAATAATATACTAAATGATTACTAAAAGTTTTGTCTAGTGTAAACTATAGCATGATTATATTCAAATTAATCACTATCTTATAAGAATTCCAGCAATGTAAATTATATTCTCCCCGGTCACTTCTGACATTTTATAAACAAAAAAACAAAAACTCAATCTAAAGGGCATAAATAAACAAATCAATACTTCACTAGACCTTTGGCCCCCAACTGTCAAACATGTTAATGTCACCTCCCTCCCCTATCCTCCCAGCCAGGGTTTGGTATTTTAGGCTTACAGTTTTTATCTTATATAATATCACAGACTAAAGTTAGCAGAATATAATTTGCATTGCTGGAATCCTTGCAAGACAGCGAATAATTTGAATAAAAACGTTTTTTATTTTGTAAAAGAGATAAAAATTGTAGCCCTTTGTAATAAAATTAATTAGACATGTCAGTCCAGTGACATTTTATAAGAGAAAAACTTCAAGTCCCTCTTAAGGACAGATAAATAAATAATCACTAGACCTTGGCATCAACTGTCAAACATATCACCTCACCTCCCCCCCCCATCTTCCCATCAGCTGATCGCTAGTAAACAGACCATTTCACGTCCCATAATTTTAGCCATGTTGATTTATGAGTGTTTGTTTTAACATAATACTACAAAAAACAATGTTTTGTTTATTCTAGGAGATGGGCGGAGGTTCATCTGGGTAGACTCTCAGTCTTTTTAGTATTTTGTGTTTCTCTCAAGTACCAAACTAAATTATTCCATTGAAACAACACTTCAATTTAGTGCGAATCCGGTTTAAAGCGACTTCTCTTGGAACGTATCTCGTGTTATATCGATGTTCCACTGTATTGATGTTAATAATATATACTTCTTAAGCAGGTTTATCAAGTTCACCTTGATTACGACCGTGCATAAACAGTCTTCAATCAAGGTTCCAGTTTTATCATTCATCGGTGTTAAGTGTGGCATAATCTTACTCCAACTAAATTTACTCAGCCAACATGTTTTTCAGGGAACAAGTTCCATAAGTCTGACAAGGAATGATTCAGGACTTGGATTTAACACTATAACACAATAGGAAGCTGACAAGCAAGTAGATTAACATTACATGAATCATATCTGTTTATTGTTAAAATTAATATATTATTTTTAGATTATCAACCAATGAAAATGATGAATGGACGCATGTCTGGACAGAGTACATCAAGCTTGTCCCGGAAGAGCAGCAACATATCGTGGTCTTCGCGTGGGTGGGAGTCACTCACCACTGACACTGAGTCTGAATTATATAACTCCAACAGACGACAGTTCCGTGCTGCCTCCGCCAGGAGGTATGCACACATGCATGCATGTACTCATGCATGCATGCCCACAAGCACGCAACATTTTTAGCAAGCTTCAAGATCCCCTAAAGATTAGGAACCCCAACTTATTTCACGTCTAGCCTAACCCCCAGTAAAAAGTTGAATTTAATTGTTGCAAATTACTGATTAAAAGAAATATATATATATGTAGCCTGTATATACCCTGTATTCTTTTTTTAAAAGGTTTTGGTTAGGTTAGGTTTGTTAGATTGAACAGAGAACTAGTGTTGGGAATTTTGGAATAATGATTTACGCATACACATTGGTGGTAGTACAGATGTCGTGCTAATATGTAAAAGTAAAAATATGAAACCCTACACCATCACAGCTAATAAAATACCACAGCTACACTACCAAAATCCTAAAGAAACTACAGTACTTATAATTGCTGTTTAGTTAAAATAATGGGAGTAGTCTATGCACTACATGTTATAACCTGAGACTACTTAAACTATTATGAGATGTATTGGCCAAAGCATTATCCCAACTGAATTGCACTTACATATTAAGCACCAGTGACAACACACTCGGGTCTAGATAGCCTAAATAAAAATCTAAGATATAACAAGCATAAGTGTACTTTAGCTTATAGTAGATGGTAGAGACAGAAATCAAATGGACCTCAAGGGCTTATAAGAGATTGTTACATCAAGATGACTTCCAGGGCTTGAGAAGCACAATTAAAGTAGACTGAAATGATGTATTATATAGTTGATAGAAGTTACTAGAACCTCTAGTGGTTTACAGGTTTTCCTTTCCAGAGGTTAGGTGCATCTGTATCCCTCCAGGGTTGGTCAAGCTCTCTAGCAATACCACGAGGAGACGCTATCTTCTTGTACCCATGCCGTCAATTCGTGGGAAAATCTCTTTAGCCTAATTTTAATTATCTCTTTAACTATAAATTAAGATTGTTTTTATTCGGTAAAGTAATATCACTGAAATATGAAAGGATAGAATTTCATGGTAAAACACCACCATACCATAATAACTTAGCACCCTTTTCACCACAGAGACGCTGGCAAGACCTACCGTCCTCTGCTCCTCAGGACCTCCACTTTTTCCGAGAGTGATGAGTCACCATGAGCGCTATAGTCTTCTGACACATCAATTCTAGGATTTCTGCTGTTTATTATTTTATTTATTTCTTCACATCAGTCTCATTATAGTTCAGCAGAGTCTTAGACAAACAAGTAATTGTAAAATTATCTAAACTATCCATCTCCACTAAATTTTCTGATGAACTAAAAGGGCTATCACACTAGGCAAAATTTCTACCAATCTCGGTTCTCATTTCCCTGTTCTCGGTAAAAGAAAAAACTTTTCCAATCACAGATTCGCGTGTCACCGTTGGAGGCGTCACTTGGAACAAAACAATAACAACGATTGCAGGTCTTCCAAAAGTGTTGTCATTTTAAGCTTTTATTGAGATATAATGGATGTCTGAAATCCCAAAGACTGCATTCCCTCACTTTATCAACAAGAGAAGCTTCAGAGTCCCTTGTCCAAATAATGTGAGGCTTGAGAATCCATTGGTGGGCTCACAGTGGATGTAAACAAATTAAATTAAATCTCATATGTAATTTTCATTAGTACAGTATATTTACATTAAAATCAATTTAAAAATTTCCTATGATTTCATTTAATAAAATCAATGCCTTTCAATTATAAATACTATTACAGAAGCTCAATTGGACCCAAAATGCAGTCAAAACTTGCCAGAGAAATCCCATACTTAACATTTTCCTTGGCTCTCAGTTTTCAGGCGAAAATCTGACCGAGAACAGCGGTATCAGCGGTATTGTTGTTTTCACCCATGGAATGCAGATATTTGACCAGTGTGAAAGCCCTTTAACATTGGTCAAGTTATGAGAAATAATTTTTAATCAAGTTTTTATTTTTGAATTAGCTTGCTCTTTTATGTGTTCACTTATATGAATATATATACAGTACAGGTTGACAACCCTTTATCCGAAATTCCAAAAACCGAAAAGCTCTGAAAACCGAATTTTTTTTTGTGGAGCAAATTTTTTTTTTTTTTTTTTTAGCCCACCCGGGCACAGGTTACTGACCCACATCGGGGCCTGGGGGGTGAAAATGTAATAGTAATAGTAATAATAATTATAATAATAATAATAATAATGATAATACAGTAATAATAATAATTATTCATAGTAAATAAAATTTTTAATAAAAAATACACAAAAATAAAATAAGAATGATAACAATAATAATAATAACAATAATACTGTAATAATAATAATAATAATAATAATAATAATAATAAAGAAATACAAGAATGAAAAAAAGATCAAAAGTGAGAAACACGACCTAGACCTATGATTATTATTATTATTATTATTATTATTATTATTATTATTATTATTATTATTATATTTAGCCCCCAGGCCCCAATGTGGGTCAGTGACCTGTGCCCGGGTGGGCTGATCCCTGTAAAAAAAAAAAAAAAAACCTAACCATTCTGAAAACCGAAAAATTCCAAAAACCGAAATGCATCTGGTCCCAAGGATTTCGGATAAGGGATTGTCAACCTGTATAAAAAGGCCCATTAAAACATGGAATTTGTTGATTCAACGGAAAGGAATGTGTATACGTACTCTAGTTAGCTGCACCGTGCATCTGAAGAGTACATGGGTGGGGGGGGGGGAGGGGTTTACATATATGGATGATTTTGGTTTCTGAAAAAATCCATATTTAATGGGCAACTTAAAAAATTTCTAAACATTTTAAATGAAATTTCAACCAGAAACCCTAAAGATGGGATAATTTTTTTTTCAGTTTTAGGTTGCAAAAGGGTCGTATTTTTTGCCAACTGGTAATTTCCAATTTTATCATGGGAAGTATTTCATTGTTCACTATTATTGTGAGTAAATCGCATTTCTACTGCATGTATTGTTTTCCTATTATTTACAGTATATTAGGGAATGTATTGTTGTCATCTATAAGGGTTAATAATTACTTTTGTCTTAATTTTTGAAAAAGTCAACCTTTGTAAAACAAAAGCAACTACCACTGTGTAGATGAAAAAACATAATTGTTTTGATGTCTTAACGCGCTTCACCAACTGATGTCTTGAAATAAAGATTACGAAATCTAAAAAGTTCATAGATACACCCACCTCTCGTTTTATGCGTGGGTTACGTTCTTGAAAATCACCGCTTAATTAAAAAACACGTAAATTAAATATAATTTTCCCATAAGAATATTTAATACATGTAAATGGTACAGGTTAGGGGAACCATCATATACCATACAGGGTAACACCCAATAGATATTCTTTTACCTTACTCATTCATAAAGAAAAAACAGTTAATAAAGGAAAAACAATATAAATACATCTTAAATAACACTTACACTGACGACTGGCGACTTCTGCTTGACAAAGGTGGCGTAGTGGAGAGTTGAAGAGGGAGGCTACTGAGGTGCAGGCGAGGGTATGGGCGAGTCGGTGGTTGAGGTAGGCTGTGGTCTGGAGATGTCGATGACTGAGGTGAGTTGCTGTCAGATTTCTTGAAATATGAGAGCAATGACTTTTGGGTGCATTTCATTTTCTTTTCTCGCAGGATTTCTTTGTAGCACTGCATAGCCGAAAGTACATTTCTATTAACTTTTAAGCTACGATCACTATTTATATCGTCTTCATCTATAATAGCCAAACCATGCTCAATTAAAGTGAATGCCTCTGTCAACCGCTTTGCTGTTAAGAGTTCAAACGACCTCAGGCTCCTCTTTCTTCTCTGCTTCCTCATCTTCTCGCTCTTTTTCTAAGTCAAGTAAATCTTGGGGCCAAAGTTCTTTATGTGAGTCAAATAACTCCTGCACGTCATCAACTCCACCTCTTGAAGACCTACTTTCTTTGCCAAACTCACAATGTTTTCTCTGGATTTACACAGATCACTTTCAATACTAAAACTTCTAAAGTCATGCACAAGATGTGGACACAGTTTTTTCCAAACTCCATTCATACATGAACGACTAACTTTGTCCCATGCCTCACCAACAAACATTATAGTCTCTTAATGTTAAAAGATTTCCAGAATTCTTTAAGTCATTTTTCCATCATCAGTAGCCTTCACTACAGCATCAAATGTTTTGTTGAGATAATAAGCCTTATATGTACTAATCACTCCTTGATCCAAAGGCTGAATGAGGGATGTCGTATTTGGTGGAAGATAGACAACTTGAATGTTTTCACAAAGATCTTGAAATGAAGGTCGATATCTGGGGAAGTGTTATCCACTAGCATTAATATTTTAAAAGAAAGATTCTCACGTTCACAATATTCATGTAACTCATCTTTCAGCTTTGACACAACATTATCACAGAAAAGACTATTAGTAATTCACCTCTTGTTATTTGAAAAGTAGTGAACTGGTAAGAGATGTTTAGGATAACCCTTGAGAGCATGTGGGTTTGCAGAGTGGGACACCATCACTGGTTTTCATTTGCAGTCACCTTCAGCATTACCTCCAAACAATAAGGTACAGTGACCCCTCGTTTAACGAACGCCTCGGTTAACGAACTGCCTTCCATAAGGATCTTCAGTTCGGTTAACGAACAAAAATTCGGTTAATGAATTTCTTACGAACCGACCCCAACATGTTTTCGCTTGCACTGACCGGGCAACCAGCTTTAGTATCAGTCCGCCAATACATTAATCGGTTCTAGGGCTTAAATTCCTTACTATTTTAGTAAATATCAATTTTTTAGTCATTTTAACAATTATTGAACATAATTGAAGGTAAAGTGACTAGTTTAATGCGCGGCATCCAGCCTCATAACACAGCAAACAGGCGTTAGTCTCTCTCTGTTTTCACTGGAGGTAACATCTTGCTTGAGACTCTCTTCAACTAAACACTTTTTTCCTGTGTTTCCAAGCAAATTATTGGTCATTTTGAAATATATTTTACATATTGACAATATATAATGCAGTGCAGTGTTGATTTAAAGAAAATAATCTTGAATTACACCAAGAGAGCTAAAATTTTATGGGTGAAATGGCGCCATGGGGTGACTTCTCTTCCACCCCAATGCCTTCTCTTCTTCCTTTTCCTCCACCCCCATTCTAAATCCCATCATCATCATCATCATCATCATCATCATCCAGGAGCCTTCTACATACACACCTCAAAGTAAGTGAACTTTTCTACCATTTTTGTTGAATTTAGGAAATTTTCTGTGAGCTGGAACCAATTACCCAAAAACCCATTGAAACAATGGTTTCGGTTAACGAACTTTTCGGTTAACGAACGACCTTCTGGAACGGATTGAGTTCGTTAACCGAGGGGTCACTGTATAACGATCCTTAGCGGCCTTGAAGCCTGGTGCTGATTTTTCCTCACGAGAGATATACGTTCGTGCTGGCATTCTCTTCCAAAATAGAACAGTTTCATCCAGATTGAAAATCTGCTTTGCAAAGTAACCTCCCTCCTCAATAATACCATTCAGAGTTCTGATGAATTCCTCGGCAGCCACGGCATCGGCAGATGCAGCCTCCCCACTCATCTTGATGTTGTGATACCCGTATCTTCGCCTGAAGTACAAACCAACCAGAACTAGCACTGAATGGTTCAGTGGGCCTTCTTCATCCTTCTGTAGCTTTTCATGGATTGCACGCGCTTTTCCTTGGGCTAGGAACATGCTGCCTGGTATGTTGCGCTGATTTTGATCTTCAATCCACGTACTCGGCATCCTTTCCGTGTGCTCCATTATAGAACTCCAACCATAAGAGGTTTTTGTTGCATTTGCAGATGCCCCTGATTGAGCATTGTTCTTTAGCTTCTCAGCATTGTCTCGAATGGTACAAACAGTGCTCTCACTTAAACCAAGCACGCGGCCAACCTCCGACACACGTTCTCCTCTATGAAGGCGGGTGATCACATTTAATTTAACTTCCATCTGTACAGCATTCCCAGCTTTCGGGTGGCAGCTTTATCAATGTTGTGGATGTGTGGTTTCCATGACATATAAGAGGAAATGGTGAGACCTATTTTAGAACTTGGCAGAATGCTTGCGTCCTGAAATGTGATTGGTGCGAGATCATTTAATTTGGAAGGTGTAATTGGTAAATACTGAGTTTCAATACTATTGAATTCAACCAAGTTTCTACCTACCCCTTCGGAGATGCTGCACAGATCCGCATTGATAGATGAAATGATATCAGCCCTAGAAACAGATCTAGTTTGAGAATTAGGGGGAAGGGAAAAATGTGAAGAACAGTGAAGTGTAGAATCATCAGTGTAAGAATGGATGGAATTAGTCAAAGTGTGAAGTAAATCACTGATAAAAAGAAGAAAGAGAGTAGGTGAAAGAACAGAACCCTGTGGAACACCGCTATCGGTAGAGAAAGAGTGAGAGTTCGATCCTTCGACAGCAACTGCCATGGCTCGGTCCTCAAGGAAGCTTGAAATTAGAGATGTAGATAGAGAACAAAAAATTAAATAAACTATATACTGTATATACGAGTATAATTAAATAAAAAAGGTGCTACTATAGCGTGTGATTTACAAAATATTTAATTTCAGTTAGATTAGGGTAGGTTACGCTAAAGAAATCTTTATAGACTATGAACCACATGCTATAGTAGTACCATAAAAATTTATAGTATTGTTTTTATTACTTTCCATCATTTAAAGAACATATGGAAAAAAAATTAACATGATTGAGCAACTCCTTGTGGTGTTTGCCATCTGTTCCAATATTACCAAAAATTTAAATGACAATTCATAGGTTAGGAAGTTAGATGAGGTTAGGTAAGGTTAGGCCAAATTCTTTTAGATCCTATGCATTCTCGCTTCCATTTTCATGTTCAATATCAATCAAATAGTATCTCCAGAAATTTTGGTTCACTTCCATAAGTTATTTCTGATGCTGTCTCCTCCACCTTTACCAACAGTAACTGGTATAAACCTTCACTCAACTCACTATTAATTTTTGTCATTTCACCACTATAAACTGCACTAATACCCAGGCAACATAACAATACAGTATACAAAATGACGGAAATTAACTTGATGTTTAGTTTTTCAGAAAACATCAACGTAACCTAAATTCCCAGTTCATAACGGAATAAAACTCAGTACAGTAACTACTTGTTGGGTTGACAAACTATCTTGCCAGTGGTTGATCAACTCTCTAACATCACATGTACCTTAATATAAATATAAAAATACAAACAATTAACTCAACCACAAAGGACAGTATTGACACAATCTTATGTCTAAATAACTTAATACAGTCAACCCTCACTTTACGCGGTCCCACATTCCGCGTTTCCACGTTTACGCGGTGCCCTGCCAGAACCCAGGATGCTCACATTCTGCGGTGGGTGTACCCCTTTACACGGTGAAGTATAATTTTTTTTAATTTAGCTCATAAAATTCATACAAATTATCCGGCCAGAATATAATTTACATTGCTGGAATTCTTACAATTTGGTGATCATTTTGAATATAAACATCATAGATTTTGCATTAGACATAAAATTTTTAGATAAAATGTTTAGTCTGAGTAAGTATGTTATCTTTTGTGAAAAATATATGACATTTATATTCAAAATATTCCTGGTCTTACAAGGAATCCAGCAATGTCAATTATATAATCCTAACTTTAGTTTGAGGTATTATTTATTACTATACCTGGTTTTCCCCCCAAAATTTCTCAGAGAGGGAAGAGCCGGCAGTGTAGTGTGAGAGGGGGAGGGAGTCGTGTCCATTATTTGAATGGACATTAACTTGGCCACTGTATTTCTCTATTTCTCTTAAGTATTAATTGTGTGCATGTACCATCATAAAATTAAGATGTTATTTTTACTACAACATAGTTATGTGTCGTCAAAAAGTGGAGTTTGGGGATCGGCCTGGACTCCATTTCAATTAATCCCATATGTTATGTTATTCACTTTACGCGTTTCTCGCTTTCCGCGGTACCCTCCGGGTTACATTAACCGCGTAAAGTGAGGGTTAACTGTACCTGTATGGTAATTACTGTATTGACGACTACACCGCTGCTGATTTTTCATAAAAAACGAATTAAAAAATGCCAAAATTTTGCTGTGTTTTAGTGTGGGCACTCGTAGTTATGGCAAATGTGTTAAAAGTGTTTATTTAAAAGTTCAACTTAACCGAACGAAAACCCCCGCCCCCTAAAAATATCAGAACTCGCTGATGAAAATATAGTAAGAATATAAAAACCAAAACAAATAAAGTGTCGGTTGTGTAGTCATCAATATTAGCCCTTAATATGAAAATAAAAATACTAAAAATTTATTCACCACACAGCAGCTAGTAGCTACACATATTCCTCTCATGGCATCGCTCAGGTAAATGGCTTACTAGTGACGTCACGATACGGTTTACATCAAGGAATACAGTGTCTACAAGGGAAGTAATAATTGAAGTGTTTAGCACTGGAGTTGAAGCCATTTGTTATCCATTTCAGTTGGTCTCTTCAATGATGGGAATGGGATAGTGCATTGTTTAATTTTTTTTTATTTCTGACTGCCATATTAAAATACATAATGGCTCCACGTATGTAGAAAGAACAAAAACGTTACTCAGCAATTTAAAATTGTAGGTATTGAGCCAAGGTCGCCAGGTCACTGATATACAGTAAAGTAGTCAGCTTAGCAAATAGGGTAAAGTTGGCTCAAAGACTTTAACTTCACCTTTATCCAAACAACTCTACCACTGGAAAAATGAACAAAATCAAACAACTCCTGGTGTTAGCCATCCCCTCCATTTTTATCTTTGCATGGGGTATAGGGACACCTTGCCCACCTTAAATTATTGGCAGTGGATATTTTGCCATCACCGGTTAAGTTCCTACTAACTCTTATTTTACCATGAGTGCACTCTGATTGGCTAATCATCCATTTCCGGCGAACAACACTAGAACTATATTTGACCGTGACTCAGGCAGCATTTGGCATTTATTTTGCTGTGAGTAGATCGTTGTGTACCAATATACATACCTTGTAGTGGATCCCTCCCCTACAAGCGCTGTTTGTCGCTAAGTAGCCGAACCTTCTCGAATTCCCCAGCCTACGCCTCCAGCGCCGCCTGATGGAGCGGGGGTCAACTATCAACCCACGCCTACCCCAGCCTTATAAGACCTCACACCGCTGTGACCACCCTCTTTCTACCCACGGCCACCAGCAAGCAACACCTCCACCTCCTCATCTCCAGCCTGGCGGCTCCCGCTTCCTCCGGCGACCTTGGCGTTGCTCAAGCCGCGTGCCCTCCTCTGGGCACCCTCACCAACCGGCTCTCTCTACTCAACGCTTGTAACCATGCAGCCTACCCAGCATCAAGCTGCATTGTACATCCAATACAATATGTATACAGAGAGCACATTGTGAGTTTCCTTTCTCCATCCCGAGTGTGAACCAATATCTCATAACCCCACAACCTAACCATATTTCTGTTGTGTGTGGAAACTAACAAAAACAGATGTAAATGATTCGTTTTAGGTTGAACATGGAATTTCACACTTCTATTTACAGTATTTAGGGAGAAAAAAACAAAATAAATAAAATACGTTTCCGGTGCAAATTTATATTTTAAGAGTTTTAACAAATAAAACCTCCCCAATTACGAACAATATTGGTTGTTCAAAATGGGTGAATTACTAAAAAGAACACCTAACAAACCTTTGAAAACATTACCTAACCTTACCTAACTTGTAAAAAGGTTAAAAATACAGTTATGTCTGAGAACACCACTACCATCAGAAGATATTAAATTTTGTGTGACATTTACTAGAACCTAATAGAACCTGACCTAACCAACCAAAGAAATGTACCTAACCTTACCTAACTTCCTAGCCAGGGACCGGTCCCCTTTCATATTAAATGTTAATTATTTATGAATTTACAGCGACTGATTTTTCATTGAAAATGAATCTAAAAATGCAGCAATTTCACTGTTTTATAGTGTGCACTGTCATAATTATGGAAATGTGTTAAAAAGTGTTTATTTGAAAGTCTAAGTTAAGTTAACCTAACTAATTAATATTTAGTAGTTACCAACACCTAACTCAATAGTGAGTCTCATATAGGGAGAAAGAGAAAAAAAAATTATTCTAAAACATTTCCGACGGAAATTTATAGTTCGAGTTATTTTAACATTTATTTTATAATATCTGCCAATCAGCATGTGTTGATGTGACGTCATAGTTGTGAAAGCCAATCAGCGTAAGTGCCGATGTGACATATAATACTCATGCGCCGATCAGCACAAGTCTCGATTCACTGGTAGTTGGAAGAAGGCATCTGTATGAAAAGGATGTACATTGGCTGACTGATGTATTATTCAGCGCATTTTGGACAATAAAGCAGCAGCCGTTAACATTTTTAGGGCTCACAGTGTTCTTGTTTCATCTGTAAAGTGTCTGAGATGTAATTCAGAGTGTCAGTACCATGATGATCGCCATGCATAGTACTGTGGTAAGAGACGAACATTGACGAAGACACCACTTTTTCAGGTTTTTGCATTTTTTTGACCTTTCACTTTTTTCAGTATCTCAACAATGGCTCACTTCTGATGGCAATGAAGTTTTATTTGTATTTAACACAACGATTTACATTATAAAAATCCATTTTCAAAAGTCAATTAGATGTTGGCAACTAATAAATATTTACCCTAACCTAACTTGACACCCGCAGTGGGCGAACTTACTATTACTGAGGTGGGGTGGAGTCCTCCATATTAGCCATCTAACCTAACCTAGCATAACTTGACACCTTCCATGGGAGAACTAACTGTTACTGACGTTGGGGAAGCAGCTGCGAATTCCTCCATATTAGCCTATCAATCAAAGAACTTAGCCAATCACGGAAGTAATTAGCCAATCTGAGCGCATTCACAGTGCCTAAAAATGGCATTAGTAGGAATGGTAATTATATAGGATTAACCAGTGAGCAAAATTTATTGAAGAAAATTATGAAAACACCATATTTTCACTGGTATATTATAGTGGACACTGTTGTAGTCTGTGGAAATATGTTAAAAATTGGATATTTTAAAAATAGTACGCGCCTAGGCACCTAATTATCTATTAAATGAACAATTTCCACAAAAACAGATTATCATATCAGAACTCACTGATGAAAATATTGTAAGAAAATAAACAGTCATAAAAATAACTCGCACATGGGTTAGTCTTATACAGTGGTCCCTCGGTTAACGAACACAATTCGTTCCAGAAGGTCGTTCGTTAACCGAAAATTTTGTTAAACAAAACCATTGTTTCAATGGGATTTTGGGTAATTGGTTCCAGCTCACCGAAAATTACATACAAACTAAAAATAAATGCAGTAAAGTACACGTACTTTGAGGTGTGTATGTAGAAGGCTCCTGGTTGATGATGATGATGATTGGAATTAGAAGTGGGGGTGGAGGAGAAGGGAGAAGAGAAGGAAGTGGGGGTGGAAGAGAAATCACCCCATGCTTCATGCTGCCATTTAACCCATAAAATTTTAAGTTCACTAGGTGTAATTCAAGATTATTTTCTATCAATCAACACTGCACTGCTCTATATACAGTATTGTCAATAAGTAAAATAAATTTCAGAATGACCAATATTGTACTGTAAAAATGTAAAAATAGTAAAATAGTTTATGTTCAAGAGAGTGTCAAGGAAGATGTTACCTCCATTGAGAAGAGACACAAACTGACGCCTGCTGGGTGAGTCAAGCGGCTGTTTGGCGCGCTAAAAACTAGTTTTCTGTACTTCAATTATGTTCAATAATTGTTGAAATGACTAAAAATTTTAATATAAAACTTTTAAAATTATTGAATAGTACAACCTTCTTGATATTTACTCAAATGGGAACGAATTTAAGCCCTAGAACCGATTACTGTATTGGTGGACTAATATTCCAGCTGGTGAGCAAGCGAAAACATGTTGAGAAGAATTCGTAAGGAATTCATTAACCGAATTTTTTTCGTTAACCGAATTGAAGATTATGGAAAGTAATTCGTTAACCGAAATTTCGTTAACTGAGGCGGTCGTTAACCGAGGGATCACTGTATATTAACCGTAGGAACTTAGCCGGTCACGGCAAAATATCCACTGCATAAATAGGTATTATTTTACTTTAGGACATAGCACACCCAAAAGTTATAAACTACTGAAACATTTAGATCTCCCTATTCTGACCATTTTGAACCCCATATACTGTATACCAGGCAGAAATGGATGGTAAAGGTGTAGACAACGGCTACCACCAGAAGTTGTTTGTTGATTTTCTTTATTTTTGCTGTACTTATTATTTTGACGATTTTAAGTACTGTATATTTAAAGAAACGACAACTTTCTATTATGATTTTAATTATTTTTTTTTTATATTTTATTCACTCTATCCCGCTTTACAATTCTCCTCCAGGCGCTATTTTTGTTGTTTACCTCGCTGAATCCCTCTTCAAGAGATGTTTCCTATCAATGATGGTGAACACTTCCACAAATTCCTCCTCGCCATTGCTGATGTATGTCGACCTCAATATTAAGGCAAGTTGTTGAATACATAAATTTACACGATAATACATAGAACCTAATAAAACCTGACCTAACGTACCCAACCTATGGGTATGTTAGTCAGGTTTTATTAGGTTCTATGCATTGTCGTTTCCATTTTTGTGTTTAATATATTAGTGATGAAAAAATTTAAACCAATTCAGACAATTCCTTCTGGTGGTAGCCGTTATCTACACCTTTATCGAATGGATAATAGCGATACAATTGAATTGATTTTATGTAGTTTTCAGTCTTCGTCTCTGTGAGATGTTATCGTCGCATCAAGCATGCACAATATTGACTGACGTCATCAAATAATGACCAATGATGTATCGGTATCATCACGCAATTTTTTTCGACCAATCACATTTTATTTGTTTCAAAGGAAGCAGCCTGGGTACGATTTTAATTTCATTGACCAGTCTCACAATGGCCGTGGTGGAGGTTGGTTGCCATTTGTGCTCCTACGATTATTTTAAATTTATTGCCGAGTTTTAAGAGAAAGACGATCATTCTATCCAATTCTTACGTATCCCTGGTCCTTCCACTTCTAACTAAGGTATTGTACTTTTGGACATGGCACGCCCCAAAGTTTTAAACTACTGAACTTGCCTAGCTTATACTACAGACGGGCAAGGGTGACCCAATTGAGGTGTATAAGCATCTCAAGGGGCACTACTCAGTCGAGTGTCCTTACTCGGAGCTGGCGGACGCTCGCCCCACAAGGGGTCACAGCTCAAGATTGAAGAAGCAGCAAGTCCAGAAAACTGTGAGGGTAAACTTTTTCGGAGTGAGATTGTGAACTCTTGGAACAATCTACCAGAAAGTGTTGTGACGGTGCCGAGTGTGAGCTCTGTCAAGACAAGACTTGACCAACACTGGAGCAGGTTCAGGTACATTCAGGAGCCAGTGCATGCCCAGTAATTGCCAACAGTGTGTAACAGAGACGTGACCAATCGCCTAAGCGGCTAGCGAGTCGATCATTTGGTGAAGAGGATAAAAGAAAAGGAAAAGTAACAGAGATGTGACCAATCGCCCAAGCGGCTAACGGGCCTGTGGGGTTCAGGATGTTTGGTTCACACTCAGGATGGAATGGAGAAAGGAAACTCACAATGTGCTCTCTATATACATGTTGTATTGGATGTACAATGCAGCTTGGTGCTGGGAAGGCTGCATGGTTACAAGCGTGATGTAGAGAGAGCTGGTTGGTGAGGGTGCTCAGAGGAGGACCAGCCTGTGGGTCGCCATGCTCGCCGGCGGGAGAGAGGACCGCCAGGCAGGCGGAGGAGGAGCAGGTGTGGTGTTGCTGGCTGGTTGGTGTAGGTAGAAAGAGGCAGGTCACCACGAGGTCAGGTCTTAAATAGCGGGGGTAGGCGTGGCTTAGTAGTTGACCCCCGCTCCGTGATGTATGGCGGCGCTGCTTGACCTAGACCATGAGGCATACACTGGGGAATTGGTGGGGTCGGCTACTCAGCGACAAACAGCGTTTGTAGGGGAGAAATCCACTACAATACTCCCCCTTCCCTCCAGGCGGTGTAGGAGACTTGTTGTCTGCAGGGTTGCATAGCACATGTGAGGCAGAACGGGCGGTGCATGCCTCATGTGAGACAACAGCGATGGCGTGGATGAGCCGGTCGCTGGATACAATTGTCTATATACACACTATCTGTGGGAGAAGAGAGGGAGAAAAAGGGTGTGTGGAGGCGATGAATGTTGTGCTTCCCTCACGGCAGGTACAGAGTCGTCAGATGCGCCTGCTGGGGTGTGTGGGCCTGGGTCAGGAGCAGGGGCTGCGTCAGCAGAAGCGGATGAGGGCTCGTGACAGCAGCTGGGTCCACGACAGCAGCAGGGTGCAGGACATTAGCAGGGAGTACCTGAGGGAGAAAAGAGGGGTGTGTGGGTCCGCACTCAGGAACAGAGGCCGCGTCAGGGGCGGCAGGGGTTACTGCTGGGCCGGGGTCGGCGTCTGAGGCAGGACGGGTGTGCTGGGGTCGGTAGGACGTGGTGCTTGGGGCAGGAAGAGGAGCTGGTGTCTGCTCAGAGTAGCAGAGCTGCTCTAGGGTGTCTAACCTGCGGTGTAGAGACAGTAGTTGTAGAGCCGATGAGAGCTGCTTCTGTGTGGATAAGCCAGTCTTCCATGTTGCTTGAAGACTGGGAGCGTGATCAGTTTCTCCTCCATCCTGTGTGAGTGCGAATCTCCAGGAGTCACCATTTGTGGGGTAAGAGATGTTTGGTTCACACTCAGGATGGAGTGGAGAAAGGAAACTCACAATGTGCTCTCTATATACATGTTGTATTGGATGTACAATGCAGCTTGGTGCTGGGAAGGATAAAAGTAAAGTAAAAGTAAAAGAAAAATTTAGGTTAGTTTAAGCTAGGCCTACCAGAGGTACAGGGGCAGAGCCCCCGGCTAGGAATTAGGTTAGGTTAGATGACTCGTTTTCGTTTTCTCCCCCACCCAAAAAACCCCACTTTCCCAGACTCTCCACCATTATTGTTGGGGGGGGGTGCAAAAACGAGCAACTTCCGCCAAAAATGAAGGTCAGTTTCGTCTAAAACACACCAAAACACACTGGAAAAACATATTGGTCAACCCCTAGGGACTCCTGTCTTAAAGTAAAAATTTACCCATAAATAATTCAAAACTAACGAGATATTTAGCACAGCATACTAACTCGTGAATATATCATCTTGGTATATTAGTCATCCCTAATCTGAATAATGTGCAGCATCATAGCTGTCTGTCCAGGTGACGAGTCAACTGTCTTCATCTCAGCCCTCAGGAATGTGATGTAAACAAATCAACGGATAATGTTAGAAACATATATGATATTATTAAAACCTTTAATTTTTGTTTAAGAAATTAACTCAAGCCTACTCAAATTTAACGTACTCTAACCTACTGTACTTATCTTATGGTAGTTTACGCCAGTGAGGGATTAGTCTCCTATCTCTTGCACCTACCCTGAGGTCCTAGCTCCTGGCCCGTCTCAGGTCATAGTCCTCTAGTGTTACCCTGAGGTCCTAGCTCCTGGCCCGTCTCAGGTCATAGTCCCCTAGTGTTACCCTGAGGTCCTAGCTCCTGCCCCGTCTCAGGTTATAGTCCTCTAGTGTTACCCTGAGGTCCTAGCTCCTGGCCCGTCTCAGGTCATAGTCCTCTAGTGTTACCCTGAGGTCCTAGCTCCTGGCCCGTCTCAGGTCATAGTCCTCTAGTGTTACCCTGAGGTCCTAGCTCCTGGCCCAGGTGTCAGGAGTCCTCAGGTCCTAGTCACCTCTAGTGTTACCCAGAGGTCAGCTCCTGCCCCGTCTCAGGTCATAGTCCTCTAGTGTTACCCTGAGGTCCTAGCTCCTGGCCCGTCTCAGGTCATAGTCCTCTAGTGTTACCCTGAGGTCCTAGCTCCTGGCCCAAGGTGTCAGTACCCGTGTCAGGTCATAGTCCTCTAGTGTTACCCTCCTAGCTCCTGTCTCAGGTCATAGTCCTCTAGTGTTACCTGAGGTCTAGCTCCTGGCCCTCAGGTCAGTGTTACCCTGAGGTCCTCCCCCAGGTCATAGTCCTAGCCCTGAGGTCCTGGCTCCCCCAGGTCAATAGTCCTCTAGTGTTACCCTGAGGTCCTAGCTCCTGGCCCGTCTCAGGTCATAGTCCTCTAGTGTTACCCTGAGGTCCTAGCTCCTGGCCCGTCTCAGGTCATAGTCCTCTAGTGTTACCCTGAGGTCCTAGCTCCTGGCCCAAGGTGTCAGGAGTACCCCGTGTCAGGTCATAGTCCTCTAGTGTTACCCTGAGGTCCTAGCTCCTGCCCCGTCTCAGGTCATAGTCCTCTAGTGTTACCCTGAGGTCCTAGCTCCTGGCCCGTCTCAGGTCATAGTCCTCTAGTGTTACCCTGAGGTCCTAGCTCCTGGCCCGTCTCAGGTCATAGTCCTCTAGTGTTACCCTGAGGTCCTAGCTCCTGGCCCAAGGTGTCAGGAGTACCCCGTGTCAGGTCACAGTCCTCTAGTGTCACCGTTGTCAGGACACGCACCTAAAGTTGTTTTCACTCGCTAAACATTTTAGATACATAATGTATAATAGCAATTACCATCCTATATCGTTGGCTAAATTAGTACCAAAACTTATTACACCAAATAAGTAATAAATTTCTATTCAAACCATTGCCGTTTATGCAATACTAAGCAAGAACAGAAATATAAACTGCAAAATAAGTACAATTTTATGTAAAGCGGATCTACACTTGCTGTGTACTATAAACATTTAAATCTCTGACGTGACTCACATGGACTCCAGCGGACTTCAGCTCGGAAAGAAACTTGTGATGGAAACACCATTGTTATCTGTCACCTGCATGGCTACATGGTTATATTGTTCTTGAGATTATCTCTGTGTCAGCAGGTAACTCAAAGTACAACTTGTAAGGTAATATGTGACGCCACAACAAAATTGATGTCATAGCAAGTATAATTGTACAGTCGGGGTTAAAAGCCTTGAACACTTGACAGTATTTGGCATGTAAGTACCCGAAGATCTTAGGTATTAAGGAGAGTTTTATCCCATTTTGTGGTTTAGGCATAAAATGCGATGACAAGTAGTGTTATTACTTATTAGTATATCCCAATCATATATGTATAACTCAGAAGTAGATGCCAGTGTTCAAGACTTTTGACCCTGACTGTACCATAATTAGTAAGGTACTATCTTCCAGTTATTTAACTTCATATTGGTAATAGTTTAGTTAAATGGTATTATTAAAGGTGCTGTATTTGGTGGTAAATATTTGTTAAATGGCTGTGGCTCCTTGTCGTTTTGAGATTATTTGGTGAATGTAAGTATCACACCGGTCTTTATTTCCATATTAAAAATATGTATCTCGTAATGGTTACACAATTCTAAGACATTTTTCTTCGATTATATTTCCACCGGAAATTAAGGGTAACTGAGATATTAATTTTTCAAGATTATTACTTTAGCTCAGTCACAAGTGTTGCCACGATTTGTTTACTTATGGCGGAGGTGGACTGTCCCCCTGCTCACGCATCGCTCTAGGCCTCCGTCTTCGCTCTTTAAGCGTCCGGGGCATGAACAACAGGTTAGGTTAGGTTTTCTTGGTTGGTTGGTAATATAATTTTTGGTATTTATTCTAAAAAATAAATCCAACTTTTTCTGTTATGATTGTTGGGCGGGGTGGGGGTTATTTAAAAAAAAAAAAAAACGTGATTTCCGGTGGAATTGAAAATAAAATTTGTTCAAAACTCGTCAAAATACATCAGAAAAACCTATTTTTAATATCGATATAAAGACCGGTGTGATAATATAAATTAACTGATTATTTTGTGTGTGTGTATTTAGGGTAATTATTCGCTTTACCACACCCTCAAATTTTGTCACGAGATGTTTGATTTCTGATGTATTTTGATGTGTTTTGTTCAGATCTGACCTTTATACCCATGGAAAATGCATTGTTTATGAAAAAAAAGATGTAAGTCATTCTTGATAAAAAATGGCAGGCAGTGTGACACCCCTCATGGTTCCAGACAGCTCGCGGTGGGACAAGAAATGGTGGGTGGAGATTTATTGATCTAATTTCTTAGGCGTTCTTCACTTGTGCGATTTTTCTAAAAGAAACCAGTTTCCAAGAGGCTTCAAGGGTTGAGGAATGTATATATGAGGTAGAATTTGCCTAAAAGTAAGTGCTTCTATATGATTTGAAGATGTGCTAAACCGAATAATAACCGTATTTACGTGTGTTTTACTCAAATAGGACCTTCATTTTGGGGGCAAATGAGCGAATTATGTAAAAAACATTTATTTGTTTATTTTTATTTTTTTACAAAATTCACTCATTTGCACAAGAAATGAAGGTCAGACTTGGATAAGACACACACACACAAAAATGGCAGTGGATATTTTTGCCGTGACGGGCTAAGCTGGGAAGGCTGTACAGATGCGGTAGCTACTTCACTCCTGAGCAGTTGCTTCAAGTTTATAAGAGATTCATTCATCCTAACTTGGAGTACTGCTCTCATATCCGGGGTGGCTTTTCTTTTGTCCAACTGTTAGATAGGGTGGAATCAAAGGCATTTTGTCTTATTGACACTTCCCCTTTAGTTGATAATCTTTTACCTTTTTCTTCGTCGCAATGTTGCTTCACTCTCTCTCTTTTACATGTACTTTAACGGGCAATGATCGGTGGATTTGGCATCCTGTGTACCGCCGGCAAGGCCATGGGCTTGTGACATTCGTCTTACCCGCGGTGCCCACCGTTTCTCTGTGGTTGTTGATTACACCAGAATAACCCGTTATAGTACATCTTTCTTTCCTCACACAGTCAAACTGTGGAATGCTTTGCCTTCTTCTGTTTTTCCATACTCTTACAATCTGCCTCACTTTAAAAAGCTGGTTTTCTGGCAATTTCGTGGTGTAGATTAATTTAGTCTTTTTCTCTTCTAGTTTTAATTTCTTTTTACTCTTATTTTTTCAACCCCCAGGTCCCGTTGTGGGTAGATGATCTGTGCCTGGGTGGACTATCCCCCATAAAAAAGAAAGGTTCTTGCTCACGCTATTTTACCGTGGGTGCACTCTGATTGGCTGATCATCCATTACCGGCGAACAACGTGAGAAATATAGTTGACCGTGATTCTGACGGCATTTGGCATTTATATCGCCATGAGTCGATTGTTGTGTAGCTGTAAACATACCTGACCATAATTCTGTTGTGCATGGAAACTTATCATTATGACAGGGGCAGACCCCTGTCACACAGTATAAAACAGAAAGTACTTAGCCAATCAAGGCGCACTCACAATAAAATAGCGTTAGTAGGAACTTAGCTGGTCATGGTAAAGTATTCACTACGAAAAAAGACCTATTCTCATAACAATTTCAACTTCCAAATCACTGTTGAAACCTAACTTAACCTAACTGAATTAAACCTGACCTAACCTAACCTCACTAAACTTACAATCTTGCTGCAGCCATTAAATGAATATTAACACTGTATTTGTCTTGCCTTGCCGCTAAATTTTCACTTATTGCCACCATATGCAATCAAGGTAAAACTATGTTTTTCCGATAGTTTTGGTGTGTTACGAAGGAATTTGACCTTCATTTCTGGCACAAATCAATAGTTTCTGAGATAAAACCCCCCATCTCAGAATCTAGAGATTTTTTATAGATATCAAAGTAAAATGTGTTCAAAAACTGTCAGAAAACAGTTTGAATCTAATCTAACCAATCTAGCCTAGCCTAGCCTATCCTAGCCTAGCCTAGCCTAACCTAACCTAACCTAACCTAACCTAACCTAACCTAACCTAACCTAACTTAGATAATCTAACTTAACCTAACCATGGGGGGGGGGGGCTTCACAGTTATTCGATGTTCTAGGTGTGTACTGCCATGTATAAACATACATAAAAAGTTAAATATTTCGCATATACATAATTAGTGCCAGAAATGCCATCTAAGGAAATATGTCTGAGAATTGTCAGAATTACCTAATGCAGCAATAAAATTCACGAGATTCGTTTAAAGGCAACAAGTGAAAGGTAAATTTGCTGCTCCCCAACTTACGACGGGGTTTGGGGACCCAAATCCAGGTCGTAAGTCGAAATGGTCATAAGTCGAAAATGCTTAAATAATACATTGAAAATCTAAAAGGGTGTCTCTTTTTCTTCTCAGCACCACAAAACTCTCACTTTTAAGCTTGCCGGCCATTTTAAAGTGAATTACAAACAAAAATTTTGTCAGTACGCAGCGCAATCACTAATGTTGGGACTTGAAAATACGTAATTTGACAAAATTTTGGTTCGACCGAGGCGGTCATATGTCCAGGTGGTTGTAAGTTGAGTAGGTCATAAGTCGGGGAGGAGCTGTAATGAAATGTTAAATATCTCGCTTATACGTAATTTGCACCAGAAATGCCATTGAAGGTGGCCCGTAAACTGTCACAAATTAAAGTGTTTATATTTTTTCTATTTATACTGTACTAGTTTCACTGTTACAATTTCATAGTTACTTACTCTTAGGTGATGAAACCATAGTGAATTGTGTGTGAAGATTATTCTTAATAAATATTGCTTTACTCACCATAAGCTGGCTGCATCTACCTGAACCGCTGGCCACATTAAATAGAACTTCTCAATCACTCCGGGTGCTGCACAAAGACATGGTTTGGGCCGTGGGTTGTCTTTGCCTGCTGTATAGAGTTCCACGCTTGGTCACTACCGAATATTACGCCTAGACACAATCACCCTAGGAAGTGATGTCACTTTTCAATATGTTTATGTTCAAATAGCGGTAAATGGCAACTTGACAGGAGCTGAGCGAGTGACTGGATGCTGTTGTAGTAAGGTGGTACTGTATATTAACAAATTTCTAAGCCAATTTCTTGCTACGTAACTTTTTTTGAAGCACTCGCTCATATTTTTGCAGGTAAAAGGCTTCAAGATGGGTAGCAATAATAAAAGAGTTATATCCCAATCCTGTGCTTGAAAGAGGAAGAAGATGCGTGCAGGAAAAAAGAACAGCCAGCCTGAGACGATACAGCAACACAAGCTAGTGATAACACTTCTGAGTGTTGAATATTCAGCATGTCTTATTTCTTTGTTTATTTGTTTTGTTTATTTTTAGAACACTATGAAAGGCATTAGTTGCTCTAAAATATTCATTATTTGAATAAGTGGTCATAGAAGTTAGCAAATTAGCTAAGTTTTACTTTTTTCCTCAGTTTCGATTGACCATTGAACGGGAATCTTTAATGTTTTATATTTTATTCATGGATGCTAAATAATACTATGCGTCCAGAGCATAAATGACAATTAATTGTCTTATAAATATGTACTAGGGATAAAAGGTAACAAGAAAAGTTTATTTTAGCACGTATTATTTGATAAGCTAAAAATTTAGTTTTGTGAATACTCTGTATCTGTATGGAGAATATTTGTTTACATATTCAATAAATACATGGCATAAATGTGGTAAGTATAAATATTATTTCAAATCATATTTTTATTTGGTTGTACTCATTTCAGCATAACAATTAATTTATACGGTACCTTTTCATTTTGACATCCAATTATAACTCCATGAATTATTTCTGGAAAGTTTGAGTGATAATTTGCTACAATACAGAAAGTTCTCGTATAACGTCGCCCCGATTAACGTTGTTTTTGTATAACGTCGCTACTCTTTAGATACCAATCATTCGGATAACGTCCTGACGACTCAATTTAACATCATTTTGCTTCGTCATGGACTACTTTTTACGGCTCATCACCCTCTCTCGTCTTGCCGCGCTACGCTCTCTCAGGAGGAGGAGGCAGCCACCGAGTCTCAGTGACTCGCCACCCTCCTCCGCTCCCGCCCTCCTCCTCCTCCGCTCCCTCCCTCCTCCCCCCCGCCATCCGCTCCACTACCCACTC